TCGCCATTGGCAAGCCGATGCGCGGCATAAATGGCATCTGACCTCAGTGCCCTTTTCAGGTTCAAAACTGTTTGGCGAGCACCTCGATAAATTTGTAGAGACAAAAGATAAAAGAAAAGTCTTACCTGCGGTTTTCCGAAGGGGGGAACCTCGGGTCTTTCCTTATCCTCCTCGTTCTCAATTTCGTCTGGCTGAAGGGGGAATGGGTCCCCACAGGAACACGGGTAATCTTTATCCTGGGGCCTTGAATTTTAGACAAAGAAATTTCCAGGAGAGGCCACCTAGGGGAAGGAATTTTGGTCCTCGGCGGCCCTTTCGAGGGGGAGGGGGTCGTTCCATCCATCGCCGCCGTTAGTACTACCTGGGATCCTCCCATTGGCGGACGATTGGGCCTCTTCGCCAAAGTTTGGGAGAGTACTACCTCAGATTGCTGGGTCCGGGCTTCCATTTCAGCTGGTCTGGCCATTGAATTTATTTCCACCCCTCCTTTGTCTTTTATCCGATGTCCTCTGTCCCACGTAGCCGATCGTCGAGCCCGCATGGACTCGGCTGTCAACCATTTATTAGCCATTAAGGCTATTCAGCGAGTGCCTCGCAACCAGGTGGGACAGGGCTTCTATTCTAGGATCTTTCTGGTCCCTAAGTCATCGGGGGGGGGGGGTGGAGACCTATTCTGGACCTAAAACGATTGAACCAGTTTGTGGTCTATAGAAGGTTCAAAATGCAATCTTTGTCTTCAATTCTGGCTGGCATAAGGAGGGGCGATCTCCTCTGTTCAATAGATCTCACGGAGGCCTACCTCCATATCCCCATTCGCCCTTCTCATAGGTGATTCCTTCGTTTTTACTATGCTGGGGCCCACTACCAATACAGGGCATTACCCTTCGGTCTTTCCTCCGCACCCCGTAGTTTCACCAAGATTTTGGCGGCCTTAGCGGCCCATCTCAGGCTTCAAGCCGTTCGGCTCCAGTGCTATCTGGATGATATCCTTATTATGTCATCTTCTCATCAGCAAGCCATGTCTGATCTTCGTCTCACGATTCAGACACTGGCATCACACGGCTTCTCTGTTAACTTAGAGAAGAGCCACCTAACACCCTCTACTAGGATCCTCCATTTGGGGGCTATTATTGATTCGTCACAGGGTAAAGTTTTCCTTTCCCCGGACAGACAGGGAGCTTTGAGATCCATGGTAGCTAAGGTCATGGGGGAGAGGAGGGTCTCCATCCTTCTCCTTTCTAGACTACTAGGGAAGATGGTTTCGGCCATCTCCATTGTCCCATGGGCCAGATTACACCTTAGAGACCTTCAATGGTTTCTCTTGCCTTTTCAGAAAACGGGCAAGGGATCCTCCTTGGCCAAAGTGGCAGTCCCACGGGAAGTGCGGTCATCCCTTCGCTGGTGGACATCTCCTGCGCTCTCCAAGGGCTGTCTGTTCCTAGAACCCCAGAGGGTAACAGTGACTTCCGACGCCAGCAAATCCGGCTGGGGGGCTCATTGCGGGACTCACTTCGCGCAAGGGGCTTGGTCCTCTGTGGAAAGGGCCCGCAGCATCAATTGGTTAGAGCTGAGGGCAATTTACCTGGCTCTCCGGGCCTTTCAACATCTGCTGTCCGGCGAACACGTGCTGATTTTGACTGACAACACCTCGGCCAAAGCGCACGTCAATCGCCAGGGTGGTACCAGGTCACTTTTGCTGATGCGGGAAGCAAAGAGACTAGGCCTTTGGGCAGAGAGGCATCTGGCCTCCTTGAAGGCGGACCATATATCGGGGGTCTCGAACGTGACAGCAGACTGGCTGAGTCGCCAGCACTTAGACCACGGAGAATGGAGCCTTCATCCGCTCCTATTCCGGAGGATAGCGGCTCATTTCGGAGCCCCACAAATAGACCTGTTTGCTTCACCTCTGAACAACAAGTTGCCTCGTTTCTTCTCCCGCTTCCCTTCCCATCAATGGAAGCTGTGGATGCCCTGCGCTCCCCTTGGCCGCAAGGTCTGCTGTACGCTTTCCCTCCGATTCCTCTCATCCCAAGGGTGATTCGGAAGCTACTGCTGGAGCAGGCGGAGATCATCCTGGTGGCTCCACATTGGCCCAGGAGGTCATGGTTTGCAGACCTCATGCATCTCTCAGTGTCTCCTCCTTGGAAGATTCCGTGTTCCCCGGATTGTCTCAGCCAAGGGACGATTGTACATCCAGAGCCTCAGTGGCTTCAGCTGACCGCTTGGCGGTTGAGTGGGCAGCTATGCAGCGGGACCACATCCCCTCAGACGTGATCCATACCATCCAGGCCTCCCGGCGAGCATCAACAGAACGGATTTATTCTGCTACTTGGCGAGCTTTTTCCTCGTGGTGTTCATCCCAAGGTTTTTCTCCCCTTCGAGCTTCCGTCTTGCAAGTTCTTCGATTCCTTCAGTCGGGTTTGGACAAAGGTCTGTCTCCTAACTCCCTCAGGAGACAAGTTGCGGCAATTTCTTCTATTCTAACGTATAATTCCATACATTCATTGTCTCAGCAACCTCTGATTCGGCGTTTCCTCCGAGGTGCATCTAATCTCAGCCCTCCTGTTCTACATCAGTATCCCTCTTGGGATCTGTCTCTCGTGCTGGACTCTCTTATGGAGTCTCCATACGAACCCCTGGATTCGGTCAGCTTGCGTTTATTGTCTGGCAAGGTGGCCTTTTTGGTTGCAATTACGTCGGCGCGTCGAATTTCAGAACTAGCAGCATTGTCTATTAGAAATGATTTGTGTGTGTTTCATGAAGATCGGGTGGTCCTCAGATTGGATCCGACATTTGTGACTAAAATTAACTCTCCTTTTCATCGTTTGCAGGAACTAGTCTTACCAGATTTCTATCCTTCTCCTTCCAGTCCTGTGGAGATCCGTTTACACACGTTGGATGTCCGCCGGGCACTGAGCCTCTACCTCCGGAGGACTGCTGATATTCGGCGGACAGAATCACTGTTTGTTTCCTTTCTACCGTCTTCCTTAGGACAACGAGTGACTTCCTCCACGGTGGGGCGGTGGATCCGTGCGACAATTACAACTGCTTACGAACTCCGGTCGTTGCCTCCTCCTGCGTCAGTCACGGCTCACTCTACCAGAAGTGCTGCGACCACGGCGGCTTGGACCTCGAAGGCTTCCTTGGACGAGATCTGCAGGGCGGCAACTTGGACGTCGCCTTCACCCTTTATTAGACATTATAAAATAGATAAGTTCGCCTCGGCGGAGGCTGAGTTTGGGAGGCGTGTGCTACAGGGTGTTGTCACTCGGGAAGGGTTTTCTGCCCAGACTGTTGCCGCCCGTGAAATGGGACAGTGATCTTTGGTATGTCCCACGTCTGGCTGCTGTCTCCACCCTCAATGGAGAAGGGGCATTGGTCCTACCTGATACGCCCCTTCTCGTTGAGTGGAGACAGCAGCCAGCCCTGCCCGGGGTTTATTTCAGTCTGGTCATTCTGTTGTTTGTTTGATATCATTGATGTTTTTCCTGCTTTTTCTTTCCACACACCGAGTCTGTTTCCTTCTCCTTCGGCAAAAACTGGGTGCCCTAGCAACAGGGGAAGGATTTAAGAAGATTTTACAGGCTCAGTCCAACCTCTGTCCAATGAGCACAACCCACGTCTGGCTGCTGTCTCCACTCAATGAGAAGGGGCGTATCAGGTAGGACCAACGCCCCTTCTGTGATTTCTGGTTCTGGCATCTGTTTCTTGTCCTTGTATTTGCTACCATGTTGCAAGAACTGCATGGGTATTGTATACATGCATCATGCCTTATATTGTATATAAAGCATGATGCATATTATATTGTATATATTGTATATAAATAAGTTTCTTCTATAAATGAATCCTGCCAAATTATTTACTTGTGTGCTGGTTGGACTGCTGCAAACTCTAACACTTTTTTTCTAACAGGTTATGGGCCCAGGCCCCAGAGCACACCCAGCCACAATAAGACTGAACTGTAATTAAGTTGAAGGACAGCCTGTGTTATAAGGAAAAGACAACAAGGCTGAGAAGGCTTGCAGGATGACTGTTGAGTTCAAGAAGATCTCTCTTTCTCGATTATATTATTTGGGCTGCAAAAATGGAATGCTTCCTGAAAGCTAAGAAGCTCTGGGATATTGTTATTAATCCACTCCAGGCACCATTAGCAGCTGCAGATCAAAGGCAGCATGATAAGACACTGACCTACATCATCTTAAGTTTGGAAGATGAACAATTCTGCTTCTTGTCCTTGTATTTGCTACCACGTTGCAAGAGCTGCATGGGTATTGTATACATGCATCATGCTTTATATTATTGTATATAAATTCTTCTATAAATTAATCCTGCTGAATTATTTACTTGTGTGCTAGTTGGATTGCTGCAACTCTAACACTTTTTTTCTATTACCTGTCTAATAATCAAAATCAAAAGTCATTATTTTTTTTCTATTTTATGCAGAAAGCCTATAATAAGTTTTTAGTCATTAATAAATTTAGGTACTGGCTTTTCTCTAATCAAATAAGTCAATTTAGCTATTTCAGCAAATTCTACAATTTTCACCAACCATTCCTCCATTGTAGGTATTGGCATCCTAGTTCATACAATAATCTTGGGATAATTATCCTATATCACTTTACTGTCCAAATCGTTCTACAGAGGATGCTATTTCTTTTGTTATCCATCTGAGCTTGGTGCACTTAGAGGAAAGAAACACTCATGCACGAATACTGTTTGTGGACTTCAGTTCAGCATTTAATACAATCATCTCTCAGCATCTAGTAGACAAACTGGGTCTTTTAGGCTGTAATACTCCTTTGTGCAACTGAATTCTTGATTTTCTTATTGATAGGCCCTAGTATGTGTGAGTTGGGACTAATATTTCTAAAACAATTTCCTTGAGCACAGCTTCTCCACTTAGGTTTGTCCTAAGTCCACTGTTGTTCACCTTATTGGGCCATGACTGTTGTGATAGGTTTACCACTAATCATATTGTTACGCATGCTGATGATATAACAATAGTGGGCCTTATTCAAGATGACGAAGAGGGTGCCTATTGCAAGTAGGTAGAGGGTTTAATGAACTGGTGTAACAAAAACAGCCTTATTTTAAATGTAGGAAAAACTAATGAGATCATCAGAAAAAGCAGGCACAGCCATACACCTCTGTGTATTAATGATTCAGCTGTGGAGGTGGTTAGCAGAATCAAGTTTCTGGGTGTGCAGCAGTGGTGGGTTTCAAAATTTTTTACTACCGGTTCTGTGGGTGTGTCTTGGTGGGCATGGCATGGCTTGGTGGGCATGGCTTGGTGGGCATGGCAGGGGAAGGATACTGCAAAATCCCAATTTCCTCCACATCAGCTGGAACTTGGGAGGCAGAGAATAGATGGAGGTGGGGCCAGTCAGAATTTTTACTACCGGTTCTCTGAACTACTCAAAATTTCCACTACTGGTTCTCCAGAAATGGTCAGAACCTGCTGAAACCCACCTCTGGTGTGCAGCTAACGAGTAGGCTAGCTTAGTTGCTCAACAGTGAGATACTGGTGAATCAGGCACATCAGTGGGACGATTGAGAGCATTCTGTCATATTGCATTACTGTCTGGTTTGGGAAGCATTACTGCTTCAGAGAGATAGATGGTGCAGAGAGTGGATAGTTTTGTACTTTCTCTTGAGAGCAGGCAACAGAATTTAATTTTTAATATGGGCTCACAGTAAAAAAATAAAATAAATGAAAACATAATTCCATGGCTCTTTTCTAGCCATCAGACTAGGGAAGAAAAATTTTGGTTTCAGTTGAATGTTTAAAATTCTTGCAATTGCTGAATTTATTTGAGCCCAAAATGTTCTAGTGTTTATACACATCCACCAAACATGACAAAATTGAGTTGCAGAATCCTGATATTAAATACAGAACACAAATCAAATAAATATACTTTTTATCCAGTAGATGGCAGAATCATACTAGTACAGTTTGCAAATGTTACAATAAAATCCTTAAATATTTGTAAATAATACAGTATAGCATATAATAAAATTCGAATAATTCTTAACTCTTAAAGAATTCTATCAGTCTATTTTTCACTTCTTAGCTAAGAAAGCATACAACTGGATCATCAAACAAATCAACCCAGATTTCTCACCTGACATATAAATGACTAAATCCATACTTGGGGGAACATTTTGCAAAGGCTTAGTTCTCTATAATTCACACTAGTAAAATGATATCAGGCAAAGCAACAGTCATATATGTGAGATGGGCATTACTAATTTATTTAGTAGATCTAAATAAATCGATGTAAAAGCTCAGAATCATTATTAGTTTGATTTCATTGGTATCTAAAAACTACTGTAGCTAATCCTACATTGGAGGATCTCTTGCCCCTTGCTAATAATGAATGCCTTTCTAAGCCATGACCCATTTTTTTAGAAATAAAACCTAGCTTATTGAGAACAGAAAAAGATTCAACTTTGCCATTTCCTAATGTGTTGTGCTTTATAGAAGTCTATATATTATGTGGGTGGTATGTGGCTGATCAGATTTAAAATTGGAATTTATTTAATTCTTGCCTTGGTATAGTTATATTAGTTTGTTCTATATCTTTAGGAGTATACTTTAAGCCTAATAGTGGAAATTTCTTTGTTTTTAAAAATTGTCAAACTTTATTGCTAGTGATTTTCTTTATTGCCCTGGAAATTTCTTTCTATCTTGGTTTCTGATTCTGGGTTAGACAAATGTTCTGAAATTTGTGGCTCAGTGGCACATATTTGTCAATGAATTCAGGAAGTCAAATCAGTTCAACAGAACTTGCTGAATTACATTAAAGGCAACTCTGAAGTTGTAGCAGTACTAAAAAAAATACTTTTATTTATACCTTAGGTAAATTGACATCTGTGCTTTGAGGAATTTCTTCAATTGAAATTTAACAAAATCCTTTCTCCTTTGTTGCATTCTGTTTTGTTTTGTTTTTTCTTTATAAGTAATTTTAATTCCTTACAAAGTCAGTATTCCCCCCCACCCTTTTTCCCTCCCCACCACCCCCACACCCCTTCCCCCCTTCCCATCCCACCCTCCCCCCCAGAGTTCCCAGAGCAAAATACAGGGTATTACAATTAACAATCATAAGCTAAATTAGCCTAACTATTCTTAAACTACCAAATCCCACCCTGAAACCTTAACTCCACTATAGATAACATAATACTTCTAAAGTTTAACATTCATTCATAAACTATTTGATATTTTCTTGTCTGATACTTATTTTGAATATAATCAATCCATCTTCTCCATTCCGATATGTATCTTTCTTGTGTATAGTCCTTCAGATATGCTGAAATTTTCGCCATTTCCGCTAAATTCACTACTTTCAATGTCCATTCTTCAATAGTAGGCAAAGAGTCCTTCTTCCAATATTGCGCTACCAACAGCCTAGCTGCCAATATTAAGTTCAAAATCAGTTTAGTCTCTACTGCTGTACAATCCGTCATTATACCCAATAAAAACAATTGAGGAGTAAATTTCAACCTTTTTTTTCAGAATATTCTGCATCACCCACCAAATTTTTATCCAAAATGCGTTGATTTTCTTACAAGTCCACCATATATGATAAGTTGCATCATCACATTCACATCTCCAACATTTAGCTTGCAAATTCGGATATGTACATGATAATTTTTTAGGATCTAAGTGCCATCTATAAAACATTTTATAAAAATTCTCTCTCAAATTTTGTGCTTGTGTAAATTTAACATTTCTAACCCAAATCTTTTCCCATGTTTCCATCATCACTGGTTACTGAAAGTTTTGTGCCCATTTTATCATACAATCCTTAACCAATTCCGTTTCTGAATCTATTTCCAATAAAGCGTTATACAACCTTTTAATATGCATCTGACTTTGATCTCTAATCTGTTTTACCAGGTTTTCCTCATTTTGCATAACACCAATTTTTTAATCTTCCCTCCATCTAGCTTGAAGCTGACCATACTGAAATCAAGTATAAATTATCCCTTCTTCTTTCAATACATTTAAAGATTTCAATTGCAATTTACCCCTTTCCATAAAAAGAAGCTCTTTATAAGTAATCACCTCCATTTTTTGTTCTATACTTATATTTTCTATTGCATGTCTGGGATTTGCCCATATAGGTATCTTGTAGTTTAGCTTATATTGATACTTTTTCCAAACCCTCAACAACGCATTTCGAAGTATATGACCCTTAAACACTTTATCCACTTTTTTTTCATATAACAAATAAGCATGCCATCCATATAACAAATCATAACCACCTATATTTAACATTCTCTCTTCAGTTAAATTAAACCAATCGCTAATTTGTGATAAAACAGCTGCTTCATATTACAATCTTAAATTAGGCATTTTAAGACCTCCTCTCTCGCGTACATCCTGTATAATTTTCAGTTTCACTCTTGGTTTCTTCCCACTCCAGATAAAAGTATTAACCCCTTTCTGCCACTCCCTCAAGTTTCCGTCTTTCTTAAGCACTGATATCATTTGAAACAAAAATAAAAACCTAGGTAATACATTCATTTTTATTACTGCTATCCTTCCCAGTAGAGATAGTTGTAGCTTTTTCCAATTTTCCATTTCTTTCTGCACTTTCTGCCAAAGAACTTCATAATTGTTTTTAAATAATTTCGTATTTGAGGCTGCAATATATACTCCTAAATATTTAACCTTTTTAACTATTTCAAATCCCGTTGTTCTCCCTAAATCTTCTCTTTGAGATATGGACATATTTTTAGTTATCATCTTTGTCTTATGTTGATTTACTTTAAATCCAGACACCTTGCCATATTGACCTATTATGTCCAACATATGTGGAGCCGATTCTATAGGTTGAGATAAAGTAACAACCAGGTCATCTGCAAATGCTCTTAATCTATAATCTTGCTGTCTAATTACAATTCCTTTTATTTTATCAGAGTCACATATCTTATTCAACAAAACTTCTAAAGTTAAAATAAACAACAATGGAGACAAAGGACAGCCCTGCCCTGTACCTTTCTCAATTTTAAAAGCATCTGTTAAGCCTCCATTAACTATTATTTGTGCTGTTTGTTCCTGATATATTGCTCTAATTGATTGTATAAAATACTCTCCAAAATGCATTTTTTCTATTATCTTAAACAAAAATTGCCAATTCAATTGATCAAATGCCTTCTCTGCATCCAAAAATATAAACGCTGCAGGGACCTGGTTGTTTTTTTCCAGATATTCCAATAAATTTACAATTTGTCTAACATTATATTTCATTTGCCTCCCTTTTATAAAACCTGATTGGTCATTATGAATTGTTTATTGCATAACTGGCATTAATCTATTCACTAATATCTTGGCAAAAACTTTGTAGTCATGTTCAAAAGTGATATTGGCCTAAAATTTTCAGGTTTGGTACAGTTTTGATCTTCCTTCAGGATCAGTGACACAAAAGCTGTTCTCCAAGAGGGTGGAACTCCTCCCCCTAATTGAATTTTACAAAATAAAGCTCTAAGCGGTTCTACCATTTCAGACTGTAAATTCTTGTAATAAACAGCTGTTAATCCATCTGTTCCCGGAGCTTTACCTGTTTTTAACCACTTAATTGCTGCAATAATCTCCTCAGAAATTATTGGCTGATTCAGTCCTCCCCTCTGTTTTAGCGTTAATTCAGGAATATTCTCTTCCTTTAGGTATCTATCTTTGTGTAAAATTCTAAAAAGGCTTTTTTGATCATATTCTGTTGATAAGCTTCCTTACCTCTAAATTCTATCTTACCAATGACTCGTGACTTCTGTTTTTTCCTCAACACATAAGCCAACCACCTGCCTGGTTTATTAGCATTACAAAATGTATTGTGTTTAGCATATTGTAAACTAGTTGCCACTTGATCAGCCATTAACATATTGAATTGCTCTTGTAATATATTTATTGTTTATTTTACTTTCTTATCTCCTGGATTAATTATAAGTAATTATTCTTTCTTTTTTATTTCTTCCTCTATCTCTTTCCGCTTCTTCTGTTGTTTTAAACTATGTTTATTATTCATATGTATTAAAGCTCCCCTC